TCCTCAATTCAATTTTTTTCCAGCATTCAGAGTTCAGACCCCACAAACAAATAATTTTGGTGCGTTAACACTTATGGCGGGGGTACTTTGGTCCACTTAGAATAAAGTTCTTAAAAGGAGAATTTGTCGTTCTGCCTCATGTCTGCCAGAATCAACATGATTTTGATCTTCTTCCATTTTAGTACATCAACAATCCCCTCCTGCAAAGCAAAACACAAGTAGATCATATCCGGTCTCCTCGCTAAAAATTAAAAGGTAGACACCTTGAAAATCATTTCTCCAGTTCACTTTAGAAAGCACAATAGCGGACAGTTTGCTACATCTGAAACATCTTGCATAATCTGTGGAAGTGGAAAGAAGAAGATTTCAGCTTCTCTAACACTTTTAGAAATCTCACACGTACAAGCACCAGTTCGTACACAATCCTATGACCTCCACGAGACTTGAAAGGATGCCCAACATTTCCAACATGAATTTCATTTCACCACTTTCAACAGCATCTTAAGAGTGTTGGTCATTACTCTTGCATTTGGTACGCTGTTGCCAACAGTACTTAGCAATTGAACCACCCTCCTTCTTGGAGGGGAAGCTCTTTTTCTGTTGGCCCTTGCTATTTCTCAGCCTCTATCAGGCAGCTACTCATAGCTCTACTATGGGTATAAGAAATGGCTGCTTCTATTCTTCAGAATCAGGATAATCTGCATTCCGAGGATGACTGCATCTGATAACTAGTTAATAATATTGAATCAAGTGACCTGTTGGAATTCCAGATTTCATTTGAAATGCCAGCCTATGGCAACTGTGCTTCGAATAATCAAGTAAAGCCTTGCAGTGTATTTCATTTTAGAAGAATAAATTTTGGAGACAGATTCCTCTTTCACTCCCATAAAATAGTATGACCAAACTCGGGACCACAGTCCATTCCAAGGGAATTTTAAAGCAACAGATTCTTTTCAGCTCCTCTACATGTGATGGGACTGTTGTTGGAGGCAGAGAAATTTAACCATTAAATTAAGATTTGAAATTGAAAGAAACTCAAATATGGGCAGCCCATTTGAACTACAAGGGAAGATCAAAATCATTTCTGAACTTGACCGGAGAAGAAACGAAATTGAAAGCATAAGAAGTGGAGAAATGGCACCAAGTGAACAAGAAGGTGAGATTGTTTCCAGCATGGAGATAAGCAGGAACAACATATTCTCCTTACCAGTTCATGCCCCTGACTGAAGAAGATGCAGGAACAAACACCTCTGACTTCATTAAGCATTTTATTCTTTATGAGTGGACAGTAATACCCATGGCATAAGTGGTCACATGCAGGTTGAGCAACCATTCGACAGAATTTTGAACAGTTTCCATCCAGGAGGACTGACTAGCACCAAAATTGAAAGTTGGGGAGCTAAATGCTCCAGGCAATAATGTTTGGGGACTGCGGCTGAAAATTTTCCAAAAGAAAAAGAAGTTAAAAATATTGCTCATTATAAAGTCCATTCCTGTCCACCATTGTTTACCAAACTTGCCCTAGTGGGTTCAAGCATCTATGTAGACCATATTAGAAAATTTTAGAAAGGCATTTTGCTAAGCAATATCACAACTTGTTCTATAATATGTCTAGTGCATCTATAACTCTCTTTGATTTAATTTCAAAAATTTGATCTACAATTGCTTTTTAACTTATTTAAGAGAATAAATTCGCATAAATATGAAACCTGTTATGAGAGTGGAAAAAGATGAGGCGCAGAAACATATACCAATCATGTACTGATTAATTTTTTGCCTTCTGCTGGGCAGCTTCAACATACTGTTCAGCAAGTTTCTTCACTTTCTCACCTTCCTTGACGAGGAAATTTGCATTCTTATCTTTTGAGTGGTATTTCATAACTTTCTCAGTTGTTTTGCCAACGGCCCACCTGTATTCTTCGACTGTGATCACACCACTCTTGCACAGTGGTCTGATGTGTTCTTTTATGTAGGATTCGACCTACATGGAAGAATATAATCAACCCCTCAGGAAACAGAAGATTTTTGAATAAATTTTATAGTAATTGAGTAAATCTATTATGACTTAGAAAGAAGCACATATGGCTAAGTTTAAAAAGTTTACTTGTAAGTTTAGTAAATAAGGGATTTTTTTTTTTTTTTATTTGAAGAATTTATCTAATTATCAAAGTTGGAAATGAGCATGTTCATTATTTTGACATTAATGTAAGAGTTACTTAAAATGAAGTAATTCTTTTTTACTTAAAAGTAAGTTATGGAATAGAGCATGGTGGTTAAGGTTAAAAAGTTTACTTAAAAAGTATATAAGCAGTTTTAAAATAAATAGTTTTTAATTGATCGAAGTTAAAACTAAGTTACTTTTTTTTTTTTTTAAACGGTAAAGTAAGAGTTACTTTCAAAGTAAGTACCTTCTTTTTTACTTGAAGTAAGAAAAAAATAACATATCCAAACATGATTGAAAATAAAAAGTTAGAAGTAACATCTACTTTTTTGAAGCTTAGCCAAACATGGAATATAGTTTATTCAGATGAAAAATGCATAATCTTTTACCTTCTTTGACACAATGTTATTTCTCTCTGATTGCTTCTCGACGTCGGTCTTAGATGTCTTCTCCTTCTTTGCAGCATTTTCGCTTGCTCGTGAATGGTGAGGTGATTCTTTCGAAACAGAAGCGCAGTGAGGAACATTGGAAACTTCCAGGCTATCCACACAACTCGCACCACCTGCTTCAGATTCCTTCTCCATTTGATTGTCCTCATGATTGCCATTTTCTCCATGAAACTCGTGATTGATCATATGCTTATATGGTTTTACTGCTACCGTCTCAGGATACTTTTGAATAAGTGGTTCTTTATCGGGTCCATAGAGTTCTTCACATTCATCAGGTGAAGGTTCTTCATCTCTATGGATCAAAATATTTTGGTCAAGGCAGTTGACAGTTCCACCGTCCACAGTTGAGCCTCCAAGACTAGTCTGAGACACGGGCAAGCAAGATGAATTGTTCAAAGCTTCATGATTTGTGGGTCCCTGATGATTCAGGGGACACAAAGTGCCAATTGATTTTTTGGGACTAAGGGTTGAGAAAACGACTCTGATTTTTGAGTCTTCGGTAGGCTTAGAGATCTTTAACGCACCAGCACCAATGAAGTCATTCTCTTCCAAATTATACTCGAAATCACCATAAATATCAAGTTCCTGATGAGAATCAATTTCAAAGACATTATCAGGTCCCTCGTCTTCTTCCAACAAACTTGGGCAACTGGGACTATTTGGAGGGGAATCGGGCATAAGCCCTGCAGTTTTCAATGCTTCGTTGACCTCAGTATCCATGGAGCAAGTAATGGTTTCTTCTACCAGTCCTTCAGAAGGATATTCGGAAGTCTGAGAAGGATTTGATTCGGTAGTTCTACTTGAACTGGCATTGTCTGATCTACGCAATAACTCCTGTGAGCACAGATTCATATATACTAGCTTGCTATTTGACTTATCGGCAATCCCTTTTTCAATATTGACAGCATCAGCAACAGCCAACTCTGTTTCAGCAGTTCTGCGAATGACTGATATATTGGCTTTCGTCAAAAAGTGCTCAATCAATCGGTAAAGTTGAGCCTGTACAACAAATTCTAGATCAATTGTGTTTGTGTTGGAGATTACAGTGTAAAAGCAATTGAGACAGAAATATGAAGAGGAATAGATAATTTGTACAACTCTTCTCTTTTCTGAATTACGAGGTGAAGGGCACTATTTATACATTTCAAAATAACCAAAATACGGTTATAACCACCAATCATAATCTGTCATATGGATAATATTCTACTGTGGTACTAAGAACGAAACCAGTGAACAAAGAAAGTCAAATCTTCCAACAATTTGAACAGATTTAACTTTTGGTTTCGCAAAAGGCAAATATGCTAAACAAGAGGCACTAATCTAACCAAAAAAAAAAACAAAATGAGCTACGAGAGAAAACTATAGAATTCCAAAAAAATTTCGTGAATTTCATGAAGGGGGCAGAGATAGCATGAGAAATGTAAGGTGAAAATAAAATATCAATCAAACTAGAGCAGAAATTGTAGCCAAATTAAAGTATGGGGAAGATTCAAAAGACGAAGGCAGAAGTTATGAAACCAAAGGTTGAGATACAAGTCAACAATGCTAAGGTAACAGTACGAGGAAGTAAGGAAAGTTCCACAATGCTACAATGTAGAATTGGGTTAGCAAGTGAGACTTTGAACTCTTTAAAGCAGTAGAGTAATAAGGGTGGTAGTTTTCAATTGACTTTCAAGGCATTTGACTGAGCTTTAAAAGTTTACTTGTAAGTAATTAATTTAAAACAAATTATATATCTATATATAAACAAAAAGTTATATAGAACTTTTACTTCATGCATGATCAGCCAAACATGCTCTAATTAGATTTCGGCATCCATTCTAGAAAGACTCCTAGAAGAAAAAGTCAGTGGACAAGTTTTTGGTCAAGCCAAGACCAAATTATTTTCAACTGAACGGAGATGATGGTGGAAAATCCATTTCCACAATTGTTACTTTATTCAATCAGAAAAATGAAATGAAAGCCGTGGGATCATTTCTGCACCCATTTTTGATCAGGACGTCATCTATTTTATTTCTAGTTGGACATTATTTTATTTTGTGGACTTTATTTATGTTTTAAATTTTTATTTATGTAATTGGGCTTGTATTGGCCCAAGTCCCAAGTTCATTCTAGTAAGGGTTTTAGTCTTTACTATTTAAACTTAATTGCGATGTAATTTCAGTAGTTGATGAATGAATAATATTTTGGTGGCTTGTGGCGAAATCCCACCTCTTCCCCGCTCTTCTTCTCTCTTCCTATTTTCTTCTTCTACTGTGGGATCTTCTTCTTTCCCCATTCTTTCCTTCAATTCCCCATATCTCATAAATCCGTTCTAACATTCAATTAATTGCTCAAGTTGGTGCTCCATCAAAATTGATATCAGAGTCGAATATTGGGTATTTCCTCTCATATAATCCAAAATTTCTTCTAATTTTCTTCCCAAAAATTGTTGGAACAGCACAATTGAAAAAGATTTAGCATAAAAGTAGTGTTTTTCATTTTTTTTAGTTCTCTGTCTTTGTAAAAAAAAA